TTCTGTCATGAACGACACCATGGAGGGCATAAATTTATACGGGTAGACAACAACTTTTTTATTATTCCCTCGGTTTCTTATTATAAGTTGTTTTTGAATTTTTACACGTATTAAGAAATGAAATAATTATGATATTAAAAAGAGAAATTATGAACGATTCTATAAAATTATCTTTCATTAGTTATATTGAAAAGACAAATTTATATAATTGAAAGAAGAAAGAATAATAAATATTTAAAGATATTATAAAAAAAATAACATTAATAATTTATTGGTGTTATAAAACAACTTATATTGTGATACAAAATATTTTCACAAAAGTTATTTATAATAAAAAAAGAAGTAGTATAAAAAAACATTAAATATTAAAGCCTTTAGAATTGTGTTTGGCTTTTGGAGGGGGAGGAGTTGGTGCAAAAAGACAAAGGAAATTCAAAAAGCCTCCAACAACATGCATATAGTCCAAAAATAACTAAACAAATAACAAAATAAAAGCAAAAGGAATCGCACCCATAAGGTGGCTTACGTTCTTGCCTTGTTTTTCTGGGGGCATTATTTGCTGCATTTATGTATTTTGCCTTAGAATGTAGAGACTCTGCTTTTTGGTTGTTTGCTATTTTAATAATTTATGGCAATTTGTAGATATATTGGTATGGTGAGATCATGCATCATTAAATATAATGATCATACATTTATTTTTTTGATGGTTGTGGCTTTATTTAGCTAATACTCCTTTCTTCCTCATCCTTTTGTATTTTACGCAAATTAAATAATATAATTATTTTTTTTAGTTTTTACCACAGCATCCGATTCACTTGAACTCCACCTTATCAAATTCAGTATTAATCACTACTAATTCAATTAACGATTGATTAACATATAATTATATAATTAACTTTAATTGAAAAAATTATATTGTTATAAATAATATTTAATATGGATGTCTGTTTTTCTTAATAATTTAATATACTTTAATTTTATGATTAAATGTAATTGATAAGGGTATTTGTTACTATTCACGTTCCTGCAACTTACATGTATGTCCTATAAATATGACTTATATTGCAATGTAAATGTGACACTTGAAAAGAGTACAATACAAATATTTATTCTTTGCTCTCTAATTTTCTTTTATTTCTTATTATTTCATAACATGTTAGCAGCATGAAACTCGAATTTTTTTTTAAAGTAGTAATGTATTAATTTTTATTTACCAAACAAATTAACATTTCAAAAAAATTACCAAAATGGCAATGTTTGGAATTAGGCTAACAGACGTTCGCCAATTGGTTTGGCGAATTAGGCTAACAGCATCACAAGTAATTCGCCATTTGGTTTGGCGAAAGGGAGTATTTTGTGGGATTTCGCCAATTGAATTGGCGAATGAGAGTTATTTTAGGGTTTGTTGCATTTTCAATTTCCTTTTAATTATTATATAACATATTTTCGTTTTCATATTTTAAAATTTAATTGTTTTTTAATTTTAATTTTAATTTACTTTTTTGATTTAAGTTATTATTATTATTAACCATAAAAAATATAAATTTATAATCTAATTAATATTTATATAATTAATATTAATATTAATTTATAATATAATTTTTAATGTCATCTATAATATTAAAAAAATTAAGTTTAAAAGTTTAAATTATAGTATGATGAAATAAATAATACTACACTGATGAAATAAATAATACTACACTGTTTGATTAGACGCTACACTAAAGGAATCTGCACTCACACCACACATATGTCACGCCAAGTGCTCAGCATGCACCCACACAACACATTTGTCACGCCACGTGGTCAGCATGCACCCACACAACACATTTGTCACGCCAAGTGCTCAGCATGCACTCACACAACACATTTGTCACGCCACGTGGTCAACATGCACCCACATAACACATTTGTCATGCCAAGTGCTCAACATGCACCCACACAACACATTTGTCACGCCAAGTGGTCAACATGCACCCACATAAAACATTTAAATAACAACAGTGTAGTATATAATTTCATAAAATAATTTAAACTTTTAAACTTAATTTTTTTAATATTATAGATGACATTAAAAATTTATATTATAAATTAATATTAATATTAATTATATAAATATTAATTAGATTATAAATTTATATTTTTATGGTTAATAATAATAATAACTTAAATCAAAAAAGTAAATTAAAATTAAAATTAAAAAAGAATTAAATTTTAAAATATGAAAACGAAAATATGTTATATAATAATTAAAAGGAAATTGAAAATGCAACAAACCCTAAAATAACTCTCATTCGCCAATTCAATTGGCGAAATCCCACAAAATACTCTCTTTCGCCAAACCAAATGGCGAATTACTTGTGATGCTGTTAGCCTAATTCGCCAAACCAATTGGCGAACGTATGTTAGCCTAATTCCAAACATTGCCATTTTGGTATTTTTTTTGAAATGTTAATTTGTTTGGTAAATAAAAATTAATACATTACTACTTTAAAAAAAAATTCACGAAACTCTACCATATGAATGTTAACTAATTATTTCATAATAAAAGTCTAACCATATAAAACTTCAAGATTTAGAAGATAATATTATAATTATTATTTTTCATAATATATATTTCTAATTCTTTCTATCATGTATCGATATATTGACCACTACAAGAAAACTTGCATTTTATCTAGTGATTTAGTGACGTGGTAAACACATGGAAAAAAACAGAGGTTGCAACGTGTAAACCACATCACTACAATATGTAATTAATATTCACTTCAAACTTAAAATCTGCAACGATGAGTGTTGTTTTTTAGAGGGAGGAAAATTTGAATTTGTCAAAAATTGAGTTGTGGCGTGGTAACCACATGGAAATAAAAAATTCAAAAAAGTCTTTATATTTGGGACGTGGGGAACAAGTCACAAACTACCCACATGGGAACCACGTCGCAAGTCTGAAAGTATTAAAGGTTGTCAGCTTTTACTTTTACGGTTAAGACACATTAATGATAAATTTGACTTTTCCAGCTTTTCCACGTGACTCCCACGTTGCAAATGGGACACATTAATGTTTTAATTATTTTTTTTACCGTTGCTTTGTCATTTAATATTGCAACCTTCACATAGTAAATGCTGGAAAAGTTCCGACGTGCATCTCACGTGGCAACTTTCCCATGTGGGAATCACGTCGCAAATAGGGGAATCTTATTAGGATTCCGACGTGGTGTTCACGTGGGTACTTTCCCACGTGTCTGCCACGTCGCAAATGTGACTATATATTCCCAAACTCAAAACTTATCCTTCACGCATTTCTCTTCCTCCTATCTTCTTCCTTTTCCTACCTTCTCTTCCTTCTTGCTCCTTCCTTCTGTGTGTTCCTCTCCTCCATTTTTGCATCACAACTTCACAAATATTTGTAGGTAAATGTTACTTTCTTTGTTTTTATTTTACATTTTATTTTAATTTTTTTTATTATTAAGTTTTAATTTTTTTTCAAATCCAAGATTAAGAACTTGCTATTTTGAAGCTTTAGGAATTTTCTCCATTGAGGTATTTACGTAATTAAATTTATTTATTTTTCAGATTTATAGGTATATATATATATATGAAATGTTTGGTTATTGATTATAAAACTTTAGTAATTTTTTGTTGTTGTTGTATTTAAATATGTAATGTTGTTTGGGTGTTTGAAAGATAAAATTAAAAATATTATAAGATATATTATATTAGAAATAAAATATATATTTTTAGAATTAAAAACAGAATATATATTAAAAAAATAAAGTTAAACATAATATATATAGTTTAGGTTGTTGTATTTAAATATATATTTAAAATTAAAAACAGAATATATATTATATTAGAAAAAACATAATTTTTAAAAATATTTTTTAAAAAGTAAAATGTGTTATTTAAAAAAGTAAAATTGTAAATAGAAAAATTAAAAAGTATTTTTTTAAAAAACATAATGAATATGTATTATATTTTAAATGTGTTATTTTTAGAAAAAATATTTTTATTAAAAAATAATGAATATGTATTATATTTTAAATGTGTTATTTTTAGTAAACAAATTATATATCATATTTTAGAATATTATATTATTGAATACGTATTATATTTTAGTAAACATAATATATATTATTTTAGAAAAATAGATTTTTAAAAATAATGATTATATATTATATTTTAAATGTTTTATTTTTAGTAAACAAATTATATATTATATTGTAGTAAACATAATTTATGTTATTTTAGAAAAAATAGATTTAAATTTATTTTTATTAGGTTGGTGTCGAAATAGAAAAAATAGATTTAAATTTGATAAATTAATGTGAAAAGAATTATATTATTTTGCATATTAAAATCACATATTTTTATTAAAATGATATATAATGATAGTACAAATGTGCAATATGGAATATTTTCGTTACTATCGTAGTTGGATGTACGATAGAAAGTTACCAAGCAGACGTGGACTTACACCAAATTTTGAGGAAGGAGTTAAGGGGTTTATCACGTGGGCATTTGCACAAGAACGTTGTCGACGTGAAGGAGGAGTAAGATGTCCCTTTCTTAAATGTGAATGTAGACCTATAATTAGTGACCTAGAGGAAGTAGAACGTCATTTGAAGAGGAAGGGTTTCATTAAAAATTATTGGGTTTGGACATATAATGGAGAACAACTGTCGAGTAACGTAAATGCAGAGACAACTAATACACACGCATCAAGCAGTCGATCACATATGGAATTTGAGGAACAATTTAATCTGATCAATGATATGGTTGGCAATGCATTTGGAGTAAATGTGACATATGATGAACCTCAGGATTTTGATGGGGAAGAGTTGTCGAATGAGGAAGCACAAAGATTTTACCAATTGTTGAAAGAAATGAATACACCGTTGTTTAAGGGGTCGGCAGATTCAAAATTATCAATGTGTGCGAGATTATTGGCCGTAAAATTAAATTGAAATGTTCCTGATCAGTGTTTGGAATACTTTGCAAAAATGATGTTGGATGTGACTCCTACGAAAGACAACTTGCCTACAAGTTATTATGATGCAAAAAGGTTGGTGTCGAAGTTAGGTTTAGAAGTACGAAAGATTGATTGTTGCATAAATGGATGTATGTTGTTTTATGATAATGAGTTTAGTATTAATGATGAGGCGCTGGAGGAATGTAAGTTCTGTAAGAGTCTGAGATATCAAATTCGTAGTAAAGCCATTAACCGTAAACAAAAACGTGTAGCAGTGAAGTCCATGTTTTATTTGCCGATAATACCAAGGTTAAAAATATTGTTTGCTTTAATGCACAGTGCAAGTCAAATGACATGGCATCATACAAACAAAACAAGTTCAGGCATTATGCGGCATCCATCTGATGGTGAGGCATGGAAACATTTTGATAAGGTACATTCTAATTTTGCTGCATAACCTAGAAATGTCAGGCTTGGACTATGCTCTGATGGTTTTACTCCATACGTCCAAGCATCCACAATTGCATATTCTCGTTGGCCAGTTATTGTAACCCCTTACAACCTCCCTCCAGAGATGTGCATGACAAAACCATACATGTTTTTGACTTGCCTCATTCCAGGACTGTCAAGTCCTAAAGCCGGAATCGACGTTTATTTACAACCTTTAGTAGATGATTTGAAGAGGTTATGGATTAGAGAATGAACCTATGATATATCTCGCAAACAAAACTTTACTTTGTGAGTTGCCTTGATGTGGACTATTAATGACTTTCTCGCTTATGGAATGTTATCTAGTTGGGGTACGCATGGCAAAATGGGATGTCCATATTGCATGGAATTTACAAAGGCTTTTACTTTGGAATTTGGAGGGAAAAGTTTGTGGTTCGACTCTCACCGCAGATTCCTACCACGTGTTGCACCCCAAAATTTGCCCAACATTTCTTTACCTAACTTATGTTTCATTTCATTCACATTAGCATTATCATTTGCATTTCATTGACATGTATGCAGGAGATCAAGAGGTATGGTTACAAATCAAGAGCTATACAAGGCTAGCTAAGAAGTTTATTCAAGTGTTCAAGGGTTGATATCCTTGTCAAAGAAGTTAAAAGATCCTCAGAGAGAGTGATTGAAACCAAGAGTGTGTGTCTCCTAACTTGAGAGTTGTGGGAAGTCATCAGATGATTCTGAAGCCATGAAGATAGACTTGAGGTCTTGAGAGAGCTCATGATAAGTGTTGAAGATCACTTTGAGGCCTAGACAGGTCATTGTGTAAGAATAAGAAGCCTCAGCCATGAGTGGTGCAGCTAGGGTTTGACTGGGTCAACCCTAAGCCAACTGATGATTTGGAGAAGATTGAGACTAAATCCAAGAGCCATGTGATCATGGATTGATACATTGAGATGTTATAAGGATGATTTCAAGGTCAACTCATCAGGAGTGAAGAGTTTGAGAAGTTTCAAGCTAGGGTTTTTAAGGCTTGACAGTGTAAAATCCCCTAGTTTGGCCCCTATCTTCAAGGATATTTAACTCAAGATATGATTGTCATATCATCTTGCCCCCAACATTATTGTGTTAGAGAATGGTCTTAGCTTTAATTTGAGTTCTAGAAGTCATTGATAGGATTTGTAGAACTCAAGTTATGGCTTTGGCAAGTTACAAGTCATCTGAGGTATGTGAATTTGAAGCTTGAAAGTTACTCAACTTGCATGAAACTTTTTCCCTAGAAGGAAGATTCCTATGAACTTTTGGTCAACATGAATGTTGTTCCTTATTCTCTTAGCTTTCCATAGAGTACTAGAAGTCCTTGATAGGATTTGTAGAACTCAAGTTATGGCTTTGATAAGTCAAGGGTATTTTGGGTATTTGGACATTATAGGTCATTTGTGATCATAGGCCATTTTCACCAACTTAGACACCTCAAATGAAATTTTGTTCAACTTGAAAGTTTCTCAGAATGGGGTTTTAACCTTGACCATGCATCAAGGAGACATTGAAATGGCTCAAGGAAGGATGTGGTTCAAGGAATTTTGAAAAAAGAAGAATTAAAGGCATTTAATGACCAAAAATTGAAATAATTCATTTTGTGTCCAAACAAGGCAAAATTATAGGTCATTTTGAATGGAAAAGTCATTTTAGGAACTTTGGCAATGTTGGAATTTTGGTTTGAGTCCATTTTCATACTATTTCATGTTGTTTCTTCATGATGAAGCAACATATCAAACTCACACCATTGGCTTGCAAACAAGGAAATTAACATAACAAACTAATTCAATATCTCATGAGATGATGATTGCAAGCATTTTCATGCCCAAAGAGAGCAAGTACACGACTGTTGCAACATGGTATTTTGAAGGAGAAAGTGAAATTGAAAATCTCATTTGGAAGGTTACAGAAAGTTCTAGACATTTCCATTGAGTTCTATATAAACATTAGAGTGTGTTCAGCCATTTTTTGGGTGAAGATTGAGCCATGAAGCAGAGAGTGAGGTTGAAGTTTTACAGCTGCAAGTTGGAATCGATTTCTGAGTACAAGGCCAAATCAAGGGAAAGTGAAGGTTGCATTAGCTTCAGAAGGTGATTTAGAGTGAATCTGCATCATCTTGAAGGTTGAATCGAGCAAGAAGTGCATCTGGTACAAGCTCAAATACAGGTTTTAACTTCTTGAAATTTCTCTCTAATTAGGTGTTTTCAGTGGACTAGAAGCATGTGGTTAGGTTCCCCTATTGATATAGATGGATTTTGGATGATCAATTTTAACTTTAGAGACAATTTAGGTTGGATTTCATTTTCGGTTGAGATTGATATCTCAAGATCCAGGCGTTTTTAGAATGAATAAGTGTCATGGTTGAATTGCTGATAAAATTCTGGTCAAGTTTCATCTAAGAATCGTGGCGAATGGTTGGCTATAGATGAAGTTAGGGTTGTACAGGGGTGGCCGGAAAAGCCACCGGCGACGGCCTGGTTCGCGCGCAGGTTTGCAGGTTTGAATTGAGGAAGACGTAATCGTGTCCGTTCGTGCACAAGGAAGACTTGACTCTTAATCCAAGCGCTCATGATGAGCCACGTAACCCTTTCCCAAAACGCACCGTTTTGCTTATTGACTTTGTTTCTTCGCTATGTGAACCGAGCGTGCCTTGGTTCGAATCCTGGCGTGTATTGTTTTTGATTTTGCATTTTTTGAATTGTGTGAGCTGAGGAATTGGAGCGTTGGGCCTATGGATTTCAGTTGATATCCCCACCCCTCCATCCAAGCCCAACATGGATTTTGAACGTAAATTGGTTGCTGAATGCACCCCTCCTGGCTATCTCTCTTGACTGAATTGATATGGGCCTAGCTCCCCCTTGCTATACGCACCTCCCTTTTGGCCCAATTCCTGAAATGAACTGCAATGATTTGCTATTCAGCACGCCAGTTTTATTATTTTTCTTCTTATTTCTTATTTTTCATCATTTCACATAGCTTAGAAAATAATTCATAAAAAATAGGAAATTAACTCAAATTGATCCAAGTTTTTTTTTTCCTAGATTCATGATTGAATCTAGAATTTTATTGAATTAAAATATTAGGGATTTATGAATTTGTGATTTTAATTGTATTTTTTGCATTTTAATTGATTTTAAATCCATTATGGTTGATACCTTGGTTTGCTGAATTTTGTGTGATTATTTGATGATGATTCTTGAGCTGATTTTTTGTATGTAGCTAGTTTAGACATGTATGATCCCCTTAGATTTTTATCACATTTTTGTGATGAAATTAGGTGTTGGTTTTGAGTTGAAACTTTAGGTGCTCTAGTTTTAGGGTTTAAGCTTAGTACCTTATGATTTAGAATTTATTTCTAGGGCTTATTGGATGATTTAACCTCTGGATTTTGTATGGTAGAGTCATGATTGACTTAGGTTCCTATAGTTATTTTTGTAGGATTTTAAAATTGGTTTTAATATTTTAGTTAGGATTAACTTTAGTACTAGGTTTTAGGTGATCCTAACTTGCTAATTCAACTAGAATGACTTCTTTAGTTCCCTTAGATTAGGGTTTTACCTCTCTTGCTCTTGGATGATGTTGAAGACTTATGTGGGCTGCTGAGGAATGCATGGTGGAGCTTGGACTTGAAGTTTGCTCTTCCTTTGGAGTAGTTTTGTTTAGGTGTTAAGATTAGGGTTTGTAAGTAGAGCTTCTAGATAGATTCTCTCATTTCATAAACATGGGATGTGTTGATCACTTCCATTCTTCCCTATGATGTAAGGTCCCCTTGTGAAGGCCTCATCCCTCCTTTTGTAGGATGTGTGGCTCTTCCCAAGTTGGTAGAACCTTTGAGGGTTCCTTTCTTTGATGGTGGAGTGTTTAGTGGTGACCTTTGGTCTTCACTTTGCTTTCCATTATCCAAATCTTGCTCTTGTTAGATGAATCTTTCTCCCTTGCTAGAGGATGGAGTTCCTTGTTAGAAGATTGAAGGTGCTAGAAGTTGCTACTTCTCTTTATTTGAAGACTGCCATTGGAGCTGAAGCTTGAAGACCAAGAAGAACAAGTTGACACTTATGAAGGAGACCCTGCTGAGATCAAATGAAGAGCTGAAGCTTGAAGTTGGAGAACAAGTGGATACTTGTGTTTGGTGCATTGAAAGCTTGAAGAAGCAAGTCGACATTTGCTATTGAAGATGAAAGCCTTGAGGAACAGTTACAGACTGAGGACTGAGTTGCTGTCAGAGGATTGCTTTGCTTTGAAACTGTGGGAGTGGTTGATCTGCTTTCTTTTCTGTCTGTTTGCTTGCTGTGCAACTGTATTGATGTGACTTGTTTGATTTGCCTGATGCATTAGAATAAGTTCATATTTAGATTGATTTAATCTAGGAGCATGATTGCACTAGAGGTTGAGTTGCTCCCTCTGCTTGTATTGTTACTGTATGGCTTTGCTTGCGGGTATTCGGTAGAGCCCTGCTCCCTTGCCTATGTGGTTTGTGATTTGCTTGATGGCATCTTACTTTTTTGTGTGTATGATTGTAGTTATTCATATCTAGCTTGAGGTTGAGATGAGCTTATGGAGGCTGATGTCCCACACACATTTCCTCCCTCACTTGCATTGCATGCATTTTACGGTCGTTTACTGTTTGCTGTTTAAGCTGATGTTTTATCCGTTTCTGTTTATCGTTGACATGATCCCCTAGGAATCTCACTTCCTTTGATAAGGAAGTGATGATTAGAACTTTAGTTTGAAACCTATGCATGATAACTTCTAGGAGTTCCCTGTCTCAAACCTCAACCATAGGATGAATGTTTGGCATGACAACATTAGGACTTGATAGTCTCCCCTTAGCTGAACCTGTTCGTTCTCTCTTCTCATCTCAAAACAAATTAAAATACAGTAATAAAGGTTAACTGATGTCGTACGTTACGAGCCTTAAACTATCTGAGAAAGAGTTGTCGGAGAGTTTCTTTTTGACAGCTTGGATGTTTAGTATGACACCCTTTGGGTGACATGCGACGCATTCACTCTCAGGTCATAGTCTCTAGTGCGATATTGGTTGCAAAAATCCATAAAAAATAGTTCTTTCGTAAAAAACAGAAAACAAACTTCAAACCTTTTTGCCCCGTGGGCCCGTAATTTAAAGGAAGCTTTTCTGAAGAAAAGAGTGTCGTTAACTCCCAGTTCTACCACAAACGGTAACGCCTAAGTCTCCAAGGGTCGAGCTGTGTACGTCAA